TAGAGGGAAGGGGAGAAGGAGGAAGGAGAACAAAGGAAATACACAACAATAAAAATAGTCTGTCAGGATTCATAGTTTCCAGCACTCCATCCATTTCTGTCACTGTGGCTGCCAGTGAGAGTTCCAGGATAAACGTGCAGTTCCATTTTAGGAAGAGTTTGTGTTTTCAACACTTGGCACGATGCCTCTGTGAGGCTGTGCATCAAGACACTGAGGATGAACCACGGCATCTTCACACGGCTTGCCCATTTCTTCACACAAACCCTCTGCTGGCTCTGAGCTGCAGCTTCAGTTCAGCTCTCTATACACCGTATTCCAGAGCAAATTACAGGACCAGAGGCCCCTAGACTCAGCCAGTATGTGCAGTGCAGAAAGATATAGGAAGGGGGGATGAAGAAAAGGCTGGATGCTGTCTTTTAGAACTCAAAAAGTAGTTGAAGTAAAAATAAAGTCTGTTCCGCCCCCACAAAGACAAGTGTTCTAAAACTTGTCCAGCAGATTTCACCAGGAAGCAACTTATTCAACAACTTGAAGACAACCTGCTTGGGGAAGAATTAGGTATAGTTTTGCTCCCAGATAAGCCCACTGAAACCCCACAATATCCTTGCCTGGAGAGCAGATATGTTTGTAAAGCTTAATTCCCTTATACATGGGCTGGAGATATGGATCAATAGTAGAGTGTTTGTCTGGCATGCACATCCTAGGTTATTGAATCCCCAGGAATAACAACAACAACAAAGGGGGAGAGAGAGAGAGAGAGAGAGAGAGAGAGAGAGAGAGAGAGAGAGAGAGAGACAGAGACAGAGACAGAGACAGAGACAGAGAGCATCAGAAAGTGCAAGCAAAATTACAATTAGAAACTTACACAGAAACACTCTCATATCTGTCTTTTGCTCAAGGTTATTTCCCTCAAGGGTGGATAAAGAGCTCATAAATGCCTCTATGGTCCATAGTAACTACTGTCTCAGACTGATTTGGGTTAGCTTTACAGAATGTGGAAGGCAACATGATCTCTTTCAGCATGATAAATCATGAGCCCCGTGTTCTCATTTGAGTAAAACCAGTCTGTTCTAGTCCATCATCTCCATGTACCTGCATCTTACACTCTGCCCTCTCTACAAAGAGAGGGCATGTCCTCTCTTTTCTGCCACTTACCTAAATGTTATGGATAATAAAACAGCTCCTCACCAGGCATTGGTGGCGCACGCCTTTAATGCCAGTACTCGGGAGGCAGAGGCAGGCGGATCTCTGTGAGTTTGAGGCCAGCCTGGTCTCCAGAGCGAGTGCCAGGATAGGCTCCAAAGCTACACAGAGAAACCCTGTCTCGAAAAACCAAAAACCAAAACAAAACAAAAAACCCGGCTTCTCTGAAAAGGGTACCCCACACTAACTGTGGGCTTATACTTTAAAGCCAACTTGATGACCTTATTTTTTCTAGTGATTTGTTTGTTTCTACAGTTACTGGCAACTAATTAGGTTGGGCATATTTGAAACACTCATTCAATATTTAGCATTATTCAGAATGCCTTCTCTGTGAAGACACAGTGATGGGATCCAGCAATAAAGCAAAGAAATGGATCTCTTTCCAAGCATGAATCACATCAAGGGAGTCCCATGCACATGACGGCAAAGATGTGATGAACCAAAAAGAGTTGTCTCCATCCAACACCAGCTTCCCTAGAGAAGGCCACAGTCAGAGCTGCCCTGCAGGACCCAGGTGCTTCACGAGAGGCCAAGCAGGGACACAAGATGGGATGGAAAGACGGCGGACTCCAGACTGGGAACCTGAAAATGCCATTTGTTTATGGAATTCCATAGGGGTCTGGAATTCAGGGGCACACCAAGAGATAAAATGTTAGAAGTCAGCAATCAGACCACAGTGGGCTCAACATGCCTAGTTACTGCAACTCATCTTTTTTAGCAATATTAGGGAGTCTGTGGACATTTACTCAAGGGAAGCAAGGTAGCCTGAGAAGGCTGACATTTCCAAAAGGTCAACCTAACATTAGACCAGAGGGACACCATGGTTACTGCACAGTTGGGGCTGCATTGCAGAGACTCTGCATGTGTGTATGGAAAACATGCACCTGTACT